ATATAAAAATACAAATTAAAAATAGAACAAGACTCTCACTTGTAATTGCACTAAGGTCTAATAATGACTTTTGTGGAGTCTATGTTTTGAGCTAGAGTGAGCTAAAGTACAATAGGTTTAATCTAATAATATAAAAGTACAAATTAAAAATAGCACTAATCTCTCACTAGTAATTGCACTATGGTCTAATATAGTGAATTTGGTATTGACTATGTATTGAGCTAGAAAGAGCTATAGTATAACTAGGTTTAGTCTAATAATATAAAAATACAAATTACAAATAGCACCAGTCCCTCACTAGTAAATGCACTATGGTCTAGTATAGTGAATTTGGTATTGACTATGTATTGAGCTAGAATGAGCTAGAGTAAAACTGTGATTAATCTAATAATATAATAAAGGAACAAGACTCTCAGTTGTAATTGCACTAAGGTCTTATATAAGTTGTTTACAAGAATTAGAGTATAATTAGATTTAAATTGACAGGATAAAATACACAAATTAAGGTAGCAAAATAACAATAAAAAAAATGATAAAAATAAAAATGGCAATGACTTGGTTATAATATGCTAGTAAGATGGTAGATAGGATAATATAAAAGTTGTAGTTGAAAATACTAGGTTAAAAAAGTATGGAATAAAAATGGTCAATAAAAGAAGTTTACAATAAGTTTGATCAATATAGTTTAAGGTAAAATTGGGCAATAATAGGGATTTAGAATAAAATTGGGCAATTGAGTATTTTTTAAAGTGAGGTAGAATTATTGAAGACAAGTTATGGTTAGTTTATAAAAAAATAAGATGGAACAGTGATGTGGTAAGTTGTAAAAAAGGAGATAGATTCTGTAGATATTAAATACAATTAAGACTATGAGGTAGAATGGTCGTTGAATACAACAATGACAATTAAAAGTAGTTGGGGTATTAGAATTATGCTTTAATGATTCAGTTTGAGGTGCAAGAGATTGTGGTCAACTGTGTCAGACGCTTTTCTTAGGTCGATAAAGAGTCCCAGGGGATATTCATTCTTATCAAGAGCTGTGTGTATTAGGTCAAGCATTTGTATAATAGCATCATTCATGTTTTTTTTTTGGTCTAAATCCAAACTGGCATGGGTTAAGTATGTTGTTGGATGTAAGGTAGGAGTAAAGTCGCTTGTGTATTATTTTTTCAAATATCTTGGATAGTAAGGGCAAGTTTGATATGGGTCTGTAATTGTTCAAATCAGTTGGATCTCCACCTTTGTGGATTGGGGTGACCCTTGCTGTCTTGAGTATGGATGGGAAGGTTGAGGATGCTATAGATTTGTTAAACATTGTTGCAATAATGGGTGACAATTCTGGTGCAGCTTTTTTATATATGAATGGCAGCAAGTTATCTAGATCACCTGATTTGTTTTTTAATGATTTAATGATGAGTGAGACTTCAGTGGGATTAGTTGGAGCTAGAAATAGAGTATTTGGATAGTTGCCAGTGAGGTACTCGCTCGGATGCGTATTTGAGCTAGGAATTTGACTTGCTAGCTTTGATCCTACAGTACAGAAGATATTAAATTTGTCGGCTGTGTCTATAGGTTGCATGTGAGGTTCATCTGGTTTAGTTAAGTTTCTCTCTCTATTCCCAGTCGGTTTCCTTGAGCCCAAAATTTTGGAGAGGGTTTGCCAGGTACTTTTCATGTCACTTTTCATTTCACTAAATCTATTTTCGTAATACATTTATTTATTTATTTATTTATTTATTTCCAATTTGTGCACACATACAGAGGTACAAAAAAAATACAGATAAGAGCAGTATGCCAAAGCCACTTATACTATGCATAGCATTACGGGCTGGCTTAAAATTAACTTAAGATTAACTAAGCAATGATTATTATTATTATTATAATCAAAAAGAAGCGCTAAGCCACAAGGACTATACAGCGCTGCTACTAAGCAATGATGAAATCATTGATAAAACATTAATGTAAACAGATAACTATAAAGCACAAGTGAGTATTACAAAGACAGGTCATATGGTTGCATTCAGTTAGGTAGTGATTCTGTTAGGTAGTGTATTTAAAAAATAATAAAGTTAGATTGGGTTTTAGGTTTAACATTTATGTGATATAATTGTGAGAAACATTTAAGATATACAATTTATAATGTTCAGTTATTCAGTATTTATTTGGTTTTGGGTGAGTAAGTAATCTTTGAGAAGAGACTTGAATTTATAAACAGGTTGTTTCTTTTATATTTACAGGTAATGAATTCCAGATTTTAGGGCCTTTTATGTGCATTGAGTTTTTGCATAGTGTGAGATGGACACGAGGAACATCAAAGAGTGATCTGTGCCTTGTGTTATGGTCATGTGTTCTGTTGAGGTTGGCAAGGAGATGTTTGAGGGGAGGGTTAATATCAGAGTTAAGTGTTCTATGTATGTAATAGGTGCAGTAATAAGTATTATGTATTAATTTTGTTAGTATTGATGTGTATCTTTTAGTAAATTCTTTAGTAATTAAGCCTAATCTGAACTGCTTTTCAAGTTGGTATTTTTTATTAATAGATTTGAGGATACTTTTAGTTAGCCATGGGCTGTTTAGCCTCTTTTCTGTGATCTGTTTTGTTTTGATTGGGCAATGTTTGCTGTAGAGGTTTAGGGTTTTTACATAAATTTTTTTTATATCTTTATCAATATGATTGCTGTCATCTAACTCTCTCTGCCAATCAATGGCACATAGAGCTAGTTTTAGGTTGTTTATCGATGTTTCATCATGCAGGCGAAATGAGATCTTCCTTGTTTCTTGAGGCAGTTTAGATAAGTTGGTTATGAGGAAAGTAGGATAGTGGTCTGTGGTGTTATCTGTGATTATACCTGCTTGTAGTGGGGATATTATGTTGGTCCAGATATGGTCGAGTAACGAGGCACTAGTGTCAGAGATTCTTGTTGGCTTTGTTATAGTGGGTAGCAATAAGCTGTTGTTCATAGCATTTGTGAAATCAGCTACTGGAGGGTCGGTTGCTTGGATAAGGTTGAGGTTGAAATCTCCTGCTAGTATCAGATGGTGTTTATTCAACTCTGACTCTATCATATTTCTAAGGTTATTGCTGAAAGTGTAAGTGTTTGAGTGTGGTAATCTGTAGACTGCACCAACTGCTATAGATTTCTTAAGTGTTCTTGATGTGAATTTAGCTATTATATATTCACCGTTTTCGTCCCGTGCATTAGTTGATTTCACACATTCTAGTTCATCAGAGTAACAGATGGCAGTGCCTCCTCCTGATTGGTCAGGCCTACAGTTATGTATAGCTGTGTAACTAGGTATGGTAAATATGTCTGTCAGATCTTGTCTGAGCCAGGTTTCAGTAAGTATAATGAAAGTTATAGTAGCATTTAGAGACTTAAGTAGTGCAATGAGGTCATCATAGTGTTTACTCAGTGATCCAACATTGTAGCTGAAGACTAATGTTCTTGCTGACACTGAGAAGGGTATTAGCCTGACTAGCAGTGTAGTAATGGCAATTACTCTTTGGACTGTGTGCGCTGTTCAATAAGAGGTTGATATCAGGATCGATGCTTTCATTCATAAGGGGTACGTAGAGAAATAGCCATTACAATTATTAAAGAACAAAAAGACCAAAGCAATGATGTTAAACCACTAACAATTATGAACTTATGAACTAAGATAGTTAAACCACTACCAATTATGAACTTATGAAGTAAGATAGTTAATTTAAATCTAAAAAATAATGGAGCTACTGATAATTAAAATAAAACACTTTAGCACCTTGATTATTTCAAAGTTAAAAGTTATGGTTTCAAGTATAAAATAAGACAGAGAATAAAACACCTAAGTACCTGGAATAGCGCCTTAGGCGTCTTAAGTAGCTGGGAATTAATTACCGTTATTCACTAACAGTCGTGAAAATATGGATTAGAATAAGGGTAAATTCTACTAAAATACAGCACTGAACATGGTTGATAATGTGTTGAGATATGTCTTAACAAGGTTCAGTCAAACCAGTGAATGAGAGGAAACATGCTAGTTCTTGATCATTTGTTATTTCAAACCTATGATCCATGTCTGATCATTTTACCACGATAATGCCATTACTAGTAAAGCACTGTTTTATTGATGCATTGTCATGCTTAAGTTTTCGAAGTCTGTATAATAGGTTCTGACGTTTTTTAGTCAGGCACTCGTATACACATTACTCCGTTTCTTGATGGAGGAACTTGTTAGATAATTTTTTACGTCAATGGAATTGAATTTTGACCTAACACTTTGTTGTTGACCCGGCTTGCCTAGCAGTCGGGCCTCCTTGATATCACTGGTTTTAATGTTAACTTTTATCTCAGCATTTATTAGTTGGAGTGCTTTGATGGTGCAATTCTCATTGTTTATATCTGGTGGTAAGGTAGAACTGGTTAAAATGACAGAGTCTAGGAGCTTGTGTTGTTCAATCATATCCCTTTGATACTGGAAGCATGCATTCCACTGGGATTCCATGTTTAACTTCCAGTCTTGTGTAGCTTCTGACAGCTTGGTGGTGAGGGAATTTATTTGTTTAGCAAGTGTGTCTATAGTTGAATGTAGGTTTGCGTGTTGTTCAGACGAGTTTATTAATGATGTCAGTTTATTTTCTAGTTCACTAATCTTTGAGTCTTGTGTTGTAAAATGATATTCAAAAGCTTTAATTCTCATGTTTTGGGTATGTAGTGAGTACTCCAGGTCCATAATGAGTTTTTCATGTTTCGTTTTGTCGTCTTAGCATACTATTTTCCTGTAGAATGTTATCAATGGAGTCTGGTCGTTGTCGAGGACTGAATTCCTGGGCTATACCTTTGGGTGTTGACAAGTTGTAATCTATGTTGCTGTTTGCGGTGAAGAGGTCTCGGGTGTTATCCGTAGTTGTAGACAAGTCAGCTTGGGTGCAAGTCATGGATGGGGATGAGTGTTGAGAAAATCCGGAGAAGGTTTTGGAGTCGTCCGCCATTGTTGTTGTGTTGGTCTGGGCGGGGGTGAGGGGGATGGAAGATTCACTGGCGTCCTTCAGGGGAGACATTATGGGTAACAGTTTTCTAAGAGGTTTCGTGTCTGTCTTGGTGTTGCTTTCTCTATTCTTGTATCCCCTGAGAACACTAGTGGAGTTATGGAGTTATTGTAGTGATAACTGTTGCTTGGCTGGGATGTCGTCTGGCAGCAGGCTGGTGTTTGGTCAGCTTTTTACATCTTTAGCAGCTTTATGTTGGTCTTTACTTGTTCCATGTGGGTCAGTGCAGCAGTATAAGCAGTTAGGCCATAATAGGAGCTGTTGTAGGGGCAGGGAACTGTAAAGATGTAGGAGTAGCCGTTGTTGTTGTCACATCAGACACCATGTTTGTTGCCAGTATAAGTTGCAGCATGATAGAATACTGCAATAAGTTTTCTCAGTGGTACAGTAATGTTTGGCTCATAATGAAAAGGACCCTGGTTCTGTCGTGGGCATGTCTCCTAAGTCCTGCTGCCCCTATTCACTTAGAAGTAAATAGCTACCTAGGAGTTAGTCAACCATTGTGGGTTGCATCCTGGGGAGGAGGTGATTACTCCAGTGAAAATCAGCCACACTGCTTTGCTTTCTTAGGTGTTGGTGTTACTTTTCCAGTCAGTTGTTCTTTCATGTCTTGAATACAATATTGTTTTGTAATCACAGCTGTTTTCTAGGCAAGAGAGATATCATTTGTGGAAAATGTACCAAGATTGTTTGCCAGCATCAAATCAATAACACTATACTACTATGAACCACTTTGAATGTACTCCCTGGAACAGAGAAGGGAGAGATATATAGGAAGATTGCCTCAGGTCAGGCTGCAATGGTTGATCCCCCAAATTTGCATAGATTTCCTTCCTATAGATCACAAGAATTTAAAATCAGTGAGGCATACAGAATTAAGTCTGCATAATCAGTTTTATATAAAAATTGGGTTCATTGCGTGTTTCAGGGAGCATTAATAAATGATGTACTATATACCCATAGAAAAAGCAAGAGTGCCATAAGAACCATTAGAGAACATTGTCAACATTCATGGTCCATAACATGTATTACTATTATTATTGCATTCATGAGGAAGAGCTAATTCTACAAGTGTGATTATTATTATTATTATTATAATCAAAAGCGCTGAACCTACAAGGGTCATACAGTGCCGCTGAGCAGGGAAGGATGCAGGAGTATTGTGTAGGGAGAGGGGTGATTATTAGGTCATGGAGTGCAGCGGGGCAGTGGATAGCACAAGTGTGACACAGTGCCTGGTGGGAGGGAGGGAGGTGTTAATCAGTTTCAGTCCAAGGAGAGGAAACTCGGGTTCAGTTCCCTGGATCAACGGCCTCTTGCCAACCTCAAGGGTTGTTCTTTGAAGGTCTCTCCATAACTTCTACCCTAGAACATGGATAGAAGTTTTCTAGAGAAAACTGGAGGGATGAGGGAACTAACACTCTGAAAGTCACTTGTTCTCTCTAGGCTGGAACATTGTTGTATGCCAACATACCCTCTACAAACCCTCACCTACTGTCCTACTGTACAACTATGATAAAATCCTTAGTGTTAAGTAATCTGTAAGCCAATAATGTTAAGTTGGCCCATAATGCCTAGGCATAATAGAGGCTCTCTTTGCATTGCAACCCACTATTGTAAATATAAAATCTCAATGTACTGTTTGCTAAGACATAAAATAAAATAAATAGCTGTATAGCCCTTGTGGCTTAGCGCTTCTTTTTGATTATAATAATAATAATAATAATAAAATAAATAAATGAATAAGTCAGATAAGATTGCAGTTCTGGTGAAGGGCCAGAGAACATTCACTGCTTTCATAAATTCAGTCAAGCATTTAAATTATTGGAAATGCTGAAAGTCCTTGATGTGTGATGCTGGAATGTAGGCAAGAAAGATGCATTATAATTTACCACTGGAGAATTCTTAGAGGGATTAGTCCCAAATTTTTCTTTGAAAGCAAAAGGCCTGGCAGACAGTGCAAGGTTGCCCACAATGAAAAGCAGAGTAATAATAATTTATTTTTCTTTATTTGTCTTTGCAAACAGTACATTGAGATTTTGTATTTACAATAGTAGGTTGCAATGCAGAGAGAGCCTCTATTATGCCTAGGCATTATGGGCCAACTTAACATTATTGGCTTATAGACTACTTAACACTAAGGATTATATCACTGTACAGTAGGATAGTAATTATTTTATAGTTGTACAGTAGATTATTAATTATAAATGAATCAAAATTTGTGTAAGACAAAAGATATATTCATATATTCAAAAATGCTTTTTGTGAAAACTGATTCAATTACAGTGGACCCCCGGTTAACGATTTTAATCCGTGCAAGAGGGCTCATCGTTATGCGAAATAATCGTTATGCGAATGAATTTTCCCCATAAGAAATAATGGAAATAAAATTAATCCGTGCAAGACGCCCAAAAGTATGAAAAAAATTTTTTTTTACCACATGAAATGTTAATTTTAATACACACAAACTGAAAAAGGCATGCACAATTACATGACACTTACTTTTATTGAAGATCTGGTGATGATTGATGGGATGGGAGGAGGGGAGAGCATTATCTTCTTACTGTTTAGAAGGGGAATCCCCTTCCATTAGGACTTGAGGTAGCAAGTCCTTTTCTGGGGTTACTTCCCTTCTTCTTTTAATGCCACTAGGACCAGCTTGAGAGTCACTGGACCTCTGTCGCACAACAAATCTGTCCATAGAGCTCTGTACCTCCCGTTCCTTCAAGACTTTCCTAAAATGGGCCATAACATTGTCATTGAAATAGTCACCAGCACGGCTTGCAACAGCTGTGTCAGGGTGATTTTCATCTATAAAGGTTTGCAGTTCAACCCACTGTGCACACATTTCCTTAATCTTTGAAGTAGGCACAATGGATTCCACAACTGGCATAGGCTTCTCAGGGTTAGCCCCAAACCCTTCAAAATCTTTCTTAATTTCCATACTAATTCTCACCCTTTTTACCACAGGGTTGGCACTAGAAGCTTTCTTGGGGCCCATGGTCACTTATTTTCCAGAAACAGCACCGAAAACACTGTAATAATACGAAATATTCCGAGTGTATGCTTGGATGTTACCGCGGAGGCTGGCTGGTAAACAATGGGACGGCCGGCACATGTGAGGGCACATTGGACGCGTCTCGGACGAAAATCGGTAAGCGGGTTTTTAATCGGTATGCGCGGCAAAAATTTTGCGATAAAAGTAATCGTTATGCGGAAAAATCGCTATGTGATGCCATCGTTATGCGGGGGTCCACTGTATATTCCTGTCAACAATGGATAAAAGGTTCAAAGTGATTGTTGAAGTTATGATGTGGGAGTACATAAGTGAGTATATGTGTACTGAGTATTTAGCGTTTAGTCTAGGGTGATTAAATGGCTTTTGAGAAGAGTCTTAAATTGATTTTCAGACTGGGTTACTTTAATATCTTCTGGTAATGAATTCCATATTTTGGGGCCCTTTATGTGCATAGAGTTTTTACAGTGTGATATGGACACGAGTTATATCAAAAAGAGATCTGTGTCTTGTGTTGTGGTCATGTGTCCTGGTTAGGTTGGTGAGGAGAAGTTTGAGTGGAGGGTTTACATTTGTGTGTATTGTTCTGTGTATGTAGTAGGCACATGGATAAGTATGGATGTTCTTAATGGTGAGCAGATTCAGACTTTTGAAAATTGGTGGAGTATGCTGGCAGGAGTGGGAATTTGTTATCATTCTTACTGCTGCCTTTTGCTGGGTTATTAGGTGATTGGATGTTGTTGATCCCCATGCACAAATGCCATATGTAAGATAAGGGTATATAAGTGAATGGTACAGTGCCAGGAGAGCTGATTGCGGAATGTAGTACCTTATCTTTGATAGTATGCTTACAGTCTTGGAGATTTTCTTTGTAATAAATAATCTTTATTTCTACAAGTACATATTTTTTTTTTATTAGCACACTGGCCGATTCCCACCAAGGCAGGGTGGCCCGAAAAAGAAAAACTTTCACCATCATTTGCTCCATCACTGTCTTGCCTGAAGGGTGCTTTACACTACAGTTTTTAAACTGCAACATTAACACCCCTCCTTCAGAGTGCAGGCACTGTACTTCCCATCTCCAGGACTCAAGTCTGGCCTGCCAGTTTCCCTGAATCCCTTCATAAATGTTACTTTGCTCACACTCCAACAGCACGTCAAGTATTAAAAACCATTTGTCTCCATTCACCCCTATCAAACACGCTCACGCATGCCCGCTGGAAGTCCAAGCCCCTCGCACACAAAACCTCCTTTACCCCCTCCCTCCAACCTTTCCTAGGCCGACCTCTACCCCGCCTTCCTTCCACTACAGACTGATACACTCTTGAAGTCATTCCATTTCGCTCCATTCTCTCTACATGTCCGAACCACCTCAACAACCCTTCCTCAGCCCTCTGGACAACAGTTTTGGCAATCCCACACCTCCTCCTAACTACCAAACTACAAATTCTCTGCATTATATTCACACCACACATTGCCCTCAGACATGACATCTCCACTGCCTCTAGCCTTCTCCTCACTGCAACATTCATCACCCATGCTTCACACCCACATAAGAGCGTTGGTAAAACTATACTCTCATACATTCCCCTCTTTGCCTCCAAGGACAAAGTTCTTTGTCTCCACAGACCCTTTTTTCCTCATCAGTTCTATGATTCACCACCTCTTTCATTGACCCATCCGCTGACACGTCCACTCCCAAATATCTGAATACTTTCACCTCCTCACAAGGTATACAGGCCTAGCTGACATCAGTGACATACTGCCATATAGAGAGCCCCTTGTTATGCAGAGCATTTCAGGCAAATTAGGTCAGTTTTGTCCCTAGGATGTGACCCCCACTGGTCATCTAACAGCCAGGTACCTATTTTACTGGTAGGTGAACATGCTCAGCAGGTGTCTTAAGGAAATGTATCCTGATATTTCCACCCATACCAGGAAATAACCCCTGGACCTCGGTGTGAGAGCTGAGTGTGCTAGCGATTGACCTACGAAATACCT